TCTTCTTCCCAAATTCCCGCTCCTTCCTTCCCTTTGGCGGAGTTTGAATGTGGAGTTCAAAATAGAGAACGCCGCGCCATCGAAAAGGACTATAAATTATAGCTTTTGCTTTTAAGAAGGCGGGGAGGGAAAAGCAAAAGTTCTGATGCGCATTCTTGGATGGAAACCTCGCCTCGCCCCTCCTCCCCTGGCCCCGCCGCCGGAGCCGCCGGGGTGGGAGTCCTGCCCGGCGCCCAGCCACGGCCCAGACCCGCCACCGCACCCGCAGCCAGGCCAAGGCCAAGGCCAAGGCCGGGGCCGTGGCGCGAAGCCCCGCTCCAGCCGCGCCTCCCTCCGTGGGTCCGCCGGGTGGGCCCGTCTGGCCGTGCGTCTGTCGGTCCCGGGCTGGCGGCCCGCCCTCCGCGAGGGAGGCGAGTCCAACTCTTCCAGGGAACTGGGGGGCCCGGCTCTGCTCCCGAGACGCTAGCAGACGCGAAAGGAAAAGTCCAACCCCAAACCCTATTCTGGTGAAACCGTCTCCAGCTCTGGGCACTGCCGCGCCATCCTCCCCGTTCCTCCTGGCATTTCGGGAATGTAAACAGATTCGCTGGGTTTCTGTTCTCTGTGGAGTAAGGAAAGGGAGGGAGGGAACTGGGCAGTTTTATCCGCATGACACACACATACACACGATCCGATCTGCGTGAGTAACACACACATCCCCCGTAAAGTGCATTTCCTGGTGTGGTCCTGGGGGGAAGTCAGCGGCTCCCCACCCACCCGCGACTTTTCACCTTCAAAATCACCCATGAGAAAAGTGATTCAAGTTAATACTCCGCGCCCCCCCCACCCCAGACTTCTTAATCTAAAAAAAAAAATTGGAAACACAGACTGACCCCACCCCCTATTTTCTGATTGGGGAGCCAATCTTTTGCTGGCCTGGCTGGCCAATGGGGAGAGAGAACAAATCTGGGCCCTGCCTTGGTTGGAGGGGGCTGCCATGGGGCTGTGGGAAAAGGGAGGGGGGGAGGGCCAGCTGAGTCCCTCCAGACACCACCAGAGGCCCAGTCCCCGGGTCCCCAACCTCCCTAGTCCCCTGGGGAGCTGAGGGGCCCCTCCTGCCCCATGGCAGCCCGTCTGCCCCAGCTAACCCACACTGAGTCTGTCTCTCTCTCCTTGTTAAATAAAACAACTTCGAGAGTTGAAATATATATATTTAGATATTTTTTTCTTAAATAACATATTTACATCTAATAGAAAATATAACTCTAGAAATAATCTTCCAACCAAAACTGATAGGGAGGAAGGAGGAATGAAGGGGTGGGCTGTGTGAAGTTGGGGTGGGGGGGAGCCCAAAGGCTGCCTCCCACCCAGAAATAAAAAGCATCATTTATGCCAAGTTTGCGCTCTCACTCTCTCTCCTGCTCTCTTATCCTGGGATCACCCACCCAGCAATTCATCTTTTCTCTTTAAAAAAGCCTTGGTCCGTGTTACTTTCCTTAATGGTGACGGTCAAAAAGTTTGAGGTCACGTCGGTGACAACCACCTTCTCCAGGTTGGTCAGAGAAGGACTCCAGGACTCTTCCTCGGGGTCCCCCAGAATTCTGGCCACTGGGATCCTGGCGATGAGAGAGGGCCTGCCCCCCTGAGCCCCCATGTCCCGATACAAGCCTCCCACAGAGCCGGGGGTGCCCGAGGCATGCCGGACCCGGGGGCCACCAGGGTCCAGGGCACTCTGGCCTTTGGCCTCCAGGAAAGCGGCCCTGTGCTTTATGACCCTGGCGGGAAAGGTGTCCATGGCCAGTTTGCCTGTGGCCTCGGCAGGGCTGGGGCTGGCCACCCCGCACTGGGCCAGGTCGGAGTCCTGCCTCCGGGCCAGCTGGATCACGCTGTGGCCGGCGGG